GGTGTAGTTGCCCTTTTCAGTGGTGGGGAAGGGGTAGTTGCCCCTGCTGCCCTCTGCACTGTGTACACCCCTGTTAGATGTGTATTATGTTTGAGTTTAAAATCTTATTTAAAATCTAATTTATAACGGTTGTCTAAGGGCCTGTTTATATGATCCCGCCTAGACGGGAGGGGATGTTTTCATCCCGCTTAGATGGGAAACTCACCTAGTGTTTATTTGGACAAAATCCATCATATTTTTGTTGCAATAAAGGTATTTACACATACTCAAAAGGGAAAAGTTCATCCCGTCTAGCCGGGATGAACTGTTTATATAGGAATTTTTCATCCCGGCTAGATGGGATGAAGTGTTTATATGTGAATTTTTCATCTTGTTTAGGTGGGATCCCGGCATCTGTTGCCGAGATCCCGTCTTGGCGGGATCATATAAACTCTCTTTAGAATTTGTATTATGAGCGGGATCTCGATTAGCATCCCGTCCCACCTGGCCGGGATCATATAAACAGGCCCTAAAATAGGAAATAATTCTGAACGGCATGCTATTTGGGGATGAGGTTTTCTGAGGGATCACCTGAATTTTAACAAAATTCATATGGGTAACCTGTAAATACACCCTTTCGATAGTTATGTCACACATACTTTTTACTCTTGGAGCCCTGGCTCATGATTCATGAGTGCAAGGCTTATAGGCCAAATGACATAATTATTAAAAGGGTGTATTATTAAAATTTTGGATAAAAATTTATGTGAAGGGTTGTCTAAAATAGGAAATAATTCTGAACAGCATGCTTTTGGGGGTAAGGTTTTTTGAGGGATTGCCTGAATTAAAAAAAAAATTCCTAGGATTTGTGCACCTGACAGGGAGACTGAGGGATGGTCGGGCACAGGGAAGATAACATTTTTAATTTCTATATTCCGGAGGTTGGGTTTATAATTATTGCAGAATATGTATAATTGTTGTTTATAATAATTATTGCATGTTTTTGCAGGAATAATACCCGGGAATGCAAGAATGATTTGGCTGTTCAGATATCATACCACAGTCATCAAATAATGCAATGTCTGCATTTTATTGTTCTCAATGTGAAAAATATTAATAGAAATATGCACAATAAGTCATGATATATATATATATATAAAATCATCCTGGTATATAGAATATTGTATTATTATAAGGTACTGCATAATATAAAGTATTAGTCACATGTACTAATGTCAATTGTACATGTGTAGCTGTTCACACATGTTGATTCGTACATATTATACAAAGCTATTTATTTATATAGACTTCATACAATATATCAGCATATTCATATAGGACAAACTATTCATATTATATATGTTTATACACTGACGGTATAGTAATGCTTAGTTTTTATTGCACATACAGTACTTCCAATAGTTAGCAATGTTATTTGATGCTATTTTACCAGATCAAAGACACAAACTCATAAATGATCACTGGCAATAGCCCATAAAGCCTTTGAGACAGGATTTAGGGTCATGTTTGAATGTTGCAATCAGTGGTGCACATGAATTTTTCTGTGTGAGATGATTTGTACTCAGGTGTAGATATATGTTTGTGATGCTACTCTGAGAGTGTCCACACCGGGCAACCTGAAAAGTTTGCTTGATAGCAGTGGGAATCAAACCAGCGACCATTGGTCATCTAGTATTGGACTACTAACTGGGCCATACATGTACAAGGTCAAAGTCGGTCAGCAAACCAAAAGGCGCAGGTTTGATTCCCACCGTGGTCAAGCAAACTTTTTAGCTTGCCCGGTGTGGATACACTCAGAGTAGCATCATAAACATAGAGTGGTCCACATATTTATCTATTTCCCACTAAGGGATCGTTCATTATTTATGCCTCAGGGGGGCACCGAAGAGAAATGGGGTGGGTAACCAATAATTTGGTATATAGAAGGGGGGTGGGTAAAGGAAAAATTGATCCGGTTCAGAAAGGGTGGGTAGCTAAAAAATATTGACCTTTCAAAACTGTAGTGCAAGGTTAAAGCAACAGTGAAAAATCGTTTTATAAAACTATACAAATATATGTTTAAACACAATATCTTGTTCACCAGTTGGAAATAAACTTCAGGTCTGATGTACAGTATCTGAATCTTTAATTTTCATCCGAGTCCAATGAGTCAGAGTTACTGCTGTCTGTTACACTGACATCTGACAGTACAGCATCTGCTGAGTCTTCATGTAATGCACCAACAGGCTATATTTTAAGTACAAAATCTCTTCTTATCAGGGTTTACCAGTTCTTCAAAACTAATAACTGTTCTTCCCCTCTCTCCATATTGAGTTGGGCAAATGTTCTCAATGACATCATTGGCGAAACCACTCCTTTTAAGTAAATCCTGGGCCTTTCGAACTGACATTATCTTTGACTTTTTCCTGTTCTTACATTTTTGCTCTTTCATTCGCCGTCATTTCCTTTTTGATTCAAAATTAGAGAGATCTGCACTAGAATGTCGTTTGTTGAGCTGTTTAGCTGTATTTGCAACATCGTCCCCAATCATGGTTACTTTGAACTTCAACTCAGATACTTCTTCAATGAATTGGCTTACAACTTTATTTTCATTTTCTGCCCACTTCTCCAGCTCCATGTGGCTGTCAAAAAGCTCGACTTTCCTGTTTTGCAGTTGCTCCAGAAGCCTCTCAGCAGCTTTCCTTGTAGCTTTAATGTGACTATCTACCCTGTTAGCAAAACTAAGATCCCTTAATGATGGATTATCTGGCATTGTTTTGTATTTCCCAACAGATATATTCTCTTTTGGAAGAAACCCTTCCTCATATGACTTGACCACATACTGTAACTTCTCAATTCTTTTCTTTGTATCCCATCTAAATTGCCTTTGCCCATTTAGGTACATCAGGAACCGACTCTGTTTATGTGTGAATGCGGACTCATATATCTCCTTCGTAACATCATTTAAAATGGCGAGGAACTATTGCCAGAGTCAGACGGACTCATTATCACAACAAGCCTCTGGTCGAATTGCTGGGTCTTGGAAATTAGCCTTTACTGAGTAGGAACCCTCTGGTATGTGTCCTTTATTTGAATTTTTCAAATTTCTTTACTAGAGTAAAAATAGTTTTGGAATTCAATGTTCATGTGTATGTATCAAACAAGTAGTTTATATATCAAAAACAAACTGTTTATAGCCCTAACCATACAAATCTTGAGTTGCATAAGGGTGGGGTAAAAGAAAATTATACTTCGAAAATGGTTGGGTAATTAAAAAAAAGTAGCCAATTTTTATTTCTCTTCAGTGCCCCCCTGAGGCATAAATAATGAACGGTCCCTAACAATTAATAAAATAATTCAAAAAAGAAACTGTGTCCAATAATTCACGCCATGCAAGGGTACTAATTCCCCCTGGCTATTTACACCTGTGAAAAGGATCACACTAGCGAAGTCTAAAGTTCATCAAATATCGCAGGCGCGGTTCATGGGTGTATGGGTGGTCATCTTACTGATCTCAAAATATGGCTGTTTGCCAGGAGTGAAGAACGGGAAAATTTAAAAAATATATGTAAGAAAGCTTGGAAAATCGTTTCACATAACAAATTGTAAAACTTTTCTTCAATTTTTAAAGGTAAACATTAACTAAGAATTGATTTTAATAGTATGATAAATTTTAAAGTATTGGGCAAATTTGTTTCAATTGTTTATGTATGCATGACTTTGTATTAATATAGATTTTGTTCTTGTTGTTCAAGTCTTTCCTATACATTGTATGCGAAAGTTTCTTAGTTAAATTAACTTTTGTAGAAGTTCATAATAAAAAGGAAAGCAAATTATTTTCATTAGCGTCCTGTACGAATTAAATTTATTTCATTTCAAAGTGCAAGTAATAAGTTGAAGAGATTAATATCGGCAAAAAGTCGTTAAAATTCAATTCACATTTAAAAACGTTTTTAATACGTAAATTCGTTTCGAATTTTACATTAAAATAAAGCCCATAGAAACCAAAATAATATACCTACTTTATATATTTTAGAACTTGATAGTTCTGTATTTAAAAGTGTTCAATTTCATCTACTTTTTGCAGGTTTGTACAAAAATATTTTTAAAAAATTATCGTGTTGCCATGACTAACATGACGTGCAACGCGAGCCTGCATTCAGTGTTGGCGTATTTACGAATACTTCATGTTAAAACAATGTTTGGAGAATATAGGCGAGGGGTTGTTGCATGCATGTATTTCTAGTAATTAGTTTTATTCCTGTTTAAATGAAAATATGTGCCTGCTGACCAATGTGTTTTAAGAACACTTAAATGGCTTTTTTCAAGCCACATTTTGTTAATGTTCATGCCAATCAAAATTTGGCTTTCCAAAAAGCCATTTAAGTAATTAAGTGCTCTTAAAACACATCAAGGTGCCACTGTGCCCTTAAAACATGCCTACAGAATGATCAAAATACTTTTTTGAAAATGTGATATAAAGAAAACCAAAAGTCACTTTTTCTCACCAGGATTCAGGAAAGCATAAAATGTTATACATACCTTCATTATAAGTTGTAGGATGTATTCGTACTGCTTAGGAGAGTCTTTAAGAATCTTTATATGGCTCCATTGCTGTTTCCCCTTGCTGAACAGTTAACATATACTGGCAATGGCTCATGTCTGTATTGTATTGTTTCATCTGGCTGCTGATCCGTCTGGGTTTCTACAGTGCTATAAGCGCACAATAAAGTTTTGTAATGAGGAAATATAACAACAGTAACATAACTGAAATATCCAGCTTCAGTTTTGAGTTTTGAAATGATTTAAATAGCATCATTCAAGTACATTTTCATTGCATACCTTTCGTGAAATATTCTTTTTGATTTCCTGGTTGGTTTTGGCGACCGGCATTAAAAGGATTTGCCTTTGAAGTGGACGGCTCTATTACCATAACTCTTGCGAGTTGGCCATTTTGAGCGTGCATATCCGAATAAGGACGTAAGTTACAGTCCCTTCTGCGCATGTCTGTGATTGTTTTTGCCTGGGGACTCCACCGGAAGTTGAGCATCTCGGTTTATACTCGGTCCAGTCTCATTTCTGGCAATAACATGCGCATTGTTTTTTTTCGCAAGCGAAGGAGTGAAGCTCGAAGTTTCCAAAATATATTGAGTGTTTTTGAGCGACAATCCGTCAAATAACGAGTTATTGAGGCAACATGACGAGTAGGAAAGAATACCACGCTAGCAGGGATGCTTCCAAAGTGTATCAAAGTGTATCTATTTTATTGTTTTCCTCGATGGAGAGCGTGCCATTTTTGTCTGCGTTTACCCCATGATATACCTACATCCTCAAGCTTCTACTAAAGGTTTTCAAGAAAAGAATCCAAGAAGGATTGGACATTTCACCCAACATAGCTGCTATTCACTGTGGATTCTTCAGTGAAATCGCTTGTTGAAGCCCATCAATTGAGGTTTTGATGACTATAAAATTCTCTTTATTTATTATTTTAAATTTTAATTTTACACTATCCGGACTATTGTTACATACACAGCCAGAATCGCCACAGACTTGCTGCAAGTTGCGGATTTTACCAGCCTGCTGCAATTTGTCAACAAGTTGCAGCAGGCTTGTTGAAATCAGGCTTGCTGCAAGTTGACATTTGCAGACTTGATGCAAGTTGATGAAACAAGTTGCATCAAGTCTGCAAATGTCAACTTGCAGCAAGCCTGATAGAACAACTTGCAGCAAGTCTGATGAACGCATCAATGCTGATGCAAGTTGATAAAATCAGGCTTGCTGCAAGTTGACATTTGCAGACTTGATGCAACTTGTTTCATCAACTTGCATCAAGTCTGTGGATATCAAGTTTTGACAAGTCTGATAGAACAACTTGCAGCAAGTCTGTGAACACATCAATGCTGATGCAAGTTGAGAAAATCAGACTTGCTGCAAGTTGTTATCCGCAGGCTTGCTGCAAGTTGTTCAAACAATTTGCAGCAAGTTTGTGGATAACAAGTTTTAACAAGTCTGATTTTCTCAACTTGCATCAACATTGATGTGTTCACAGACTTGCTGCAAGTTGAGAAAATCAAGCTTGTTGCAAGTTGCCATTTGCAGACTTGATGCAAATTGATAACAAATTGATAACTGACATGTTTACCCCGTTCGCCGGTTATCGACATAAACTTCCACTCTGATCAAATAAACAAAATAATGTAAAACGATTTCATGTTTATTTGTTTTAATTCGTTACTGCAATAATCCAATATGTTTATCGTTTAAATTTCAGTCGATTTCAGTTATATAAAGGTGAAGGTCAGTTAACTAACTTAACTTTTCACACGAATGTCCCGATTCCAAACTATCAAAACTTCAAACATTCAAACGCACAAATCAGTACAGTTTTTCTCAACCGTTATTTGATTGGCTACATCTTCGTCCAGGAGCTAATCAGAGACTTTGTTTTGAAATTAATTTATGAATCTCATTATAAAATTTTGCAGTTTGCATTCTTTCATTTCTTTGCAAGTCCCAACGCAACAGACTTCGCCATGAAATTCGGTACACTTGTGTAAAAAGTTATTTGAAATCGACTGTAAAGCAATGTGGTGAGAACAGTTACAGTTACTATAATCGTCGCTGATGTTTATACTGTTCAGACCTTTGTCAACGTCAGTTTACTAAATATATCATGCACTTTGTCAACTTTTATAGCTTCGACTCAGAATTTTTTGCCCTTTGAAGAGTTTGTGAGTCTGTTCAACGAATATCTTTGTATGTCATTTTTTCGCATTAAAACGTTGGACAAAGGTAAGGGAGAATAAAATCGTTTGTGGTCACAAAAATATAAAAGGCAATAATCCATGCGAAATATCGTGTGGAAAGTGTTCGCGGTTTGAAGGTTCCATGCCCATGTGCTCATGCACATATACTCTCCATTTTGTCAGAGATCATGCAACAGCATCAAACCAGATAAATAGACCTTTCCCCTTTAATATGAGTGAAAATTTGACAAGCCTGGACAAAATTAGTAATGTTCCGAAGTTTCGTTGCGAAATGTTGTAAAATGCCGATAATATAGCCTTGTGAAGTTTGCCGTTTTTCAGTCATTTTGTATTACAAATGGGGAAATTGCTAATCAAGTTTGATTTGATTATCAATTTCCCATTTGTAATACAAAATGACTGGAAAACGTGAAACTTCGCAAGGCTATAATTATCGGCATTTTACAACATTTCGAAACGAAACATCGGAATATTACTAATTTTGTGATGCTCTTTCAAGCTGTGATGAAATTTTTGTCCAGGCTTGTCTAGATCAAAATTCACTCATAAGGGGAAAGGTCTCGGTCGCTTTTGATTTCTTATATATACTGTAAACAATAATGCATGTTACTTGACTTTCTGCATTTGTTTATAGGTACAAATCAATGGCATATATGTCAAGTGGATATGTTGGATTTGATCATTTTATGACTGTATCTGGTATGTCACATTCATGATGTTTTAATTAATAGATTTTTTAACAGAAATTTTATTAAAATCATGAGTAAATGTATAGTTTATTTACACATGAAAATTGTACAAAAACATAAAGTAATATGTATATATATTATTATATTTAACACAATAAATTATTATTTTACATGGTACAATTTAACTAATTCTCAAAGCAAAAGTCAATTAATTAATTTAAATACTGTATTATTAAACTTAAAGACTGTTCGCCACTGGATTTTAATATAAACAATCAAGTGAGAATTTCATGTACGGGACATGAACAATTAGGTTTTGTCACGCTTTACTTATTAAAATGGCAAATTGTCCAATAAGGCTAATTGACCCCCTCCTTTATAGTGGCAAAGTTTTAAAACCCTAAATTTTTGGCAAAGTTTTTATACCTTTGTCCATGCATCATTACGTAAAAACAATGAAATTAATTCATGTACCTTTATTCATCACAATTATCAACAGCAATGAACTGACCCCTAGCCTTCCTTCCTTAGTGGCCATGCAATTCACAATTAATTAACTTGTTAACTGGCAAAGCTCCCAAATGCGCCCTAATTTAGTATCTATACTATCTATAATGCCAGACAATTTTACTCGTCATTGGTAGAATAGTGCCAGTAAATGGGTTAAGCTTGACAAAATCTAGTTGTCGATGGTCCCTTATGTTCTAATATGGAAAATTAATTGCGTGCTTTTTTCTGGAGGTAAATATAAATTTTCTGCATGACAAAGCCACAATGAGTGGTGTAAATTGAGTGAAACAGAGAAATTACTGAAATGAAACGAAACAGACATTTTGTTGAGTCTTGTGATTCTTGTCAGATTCGATTTGAATCAAACGCAAGTTTTGTAAGGCACTGCAAGACACAGGGACATAGGCACAAGGAGCTTGGAGCGCAAAATGCAGCTATGATGGCGGATGACGAAAACTGGGAAAATGACTGCGCCACTATGCCTGTACGACACATTCGTCAACCACATCCATGGATGGCACAACCTGCAGTTTTGGAGGACATTCCACAAGAGCAGCAAGAAAGTGATAGCGAGATATCAGACGACGACGCTAGTGAACAATTGCCATCAGAAGAACTAGGGTTTTTCCCATTTCCTGATGAGAAATTTTTCTTGTTATACTGTTACGCGCATGGTATAATGAGGCCAAAGGTAAGTATAAAATTCAGAATATTCGGATAATCATGAACTTGTTACGAACATTTTAAAATTCCTCTCAAAACGTTTCAAAATTAACTTTAAGTGTGTTACAGACCCAGTTTACATTTGAAAGGTTTTTATATGGTGCTGCAAGTTGTCATCAAGTTGCATCAAGCCTGCAGCATAGTTGCAACGGCTAGCTTGCATA